TCAAATCCCAACTTTTTCTTTTCAGCTGAGTGATCTTGGGCAGGTTATTTATTCTCTTGGTGCTTTGGTCTCCTCCACTGTAAACTGCTGCTAACAATGGTCTCCTTCCTACTCACTGGTTGCTGTGAGACTAGAATGAGCGAACGTACGTGGAAGGACCATGCGAACAGTGAAGTGCTCTACAGAGCAGGTCAGTGTGACCCCACCTCTCACCAGTGACTCTACTACCTGCCTCCTCGAGACTGGTGCTACACAGGGCAGTCAACATGGCAGGGTCGTCTTTAACATCTCTCCCTTCCCAGCCATCTTCCTCCTTCCAGCAAAGATGAAGGTCAGACTCAGGTCCCCAGTGCCTCTCCTCCCTGAGCCAGCCCCTCCCCAGTGGCAGTGGCTTTGTCCCCACTGGGTCATACCTCTGTAACCTCCTATCACTAGCCTGACACTAATGGTAGCTTTATCAAATAAATTTCCTCCTTCTTGCCCCCTTTGCCCTGCTGGGTTAGTCAGTGATTTATACACCTTGGGATGTTGCCCTAGGGCAGTGATTGATAAGGAAAAAAATGCTGGGTTTCTTCAATACCACTCCCTTATCTCTACTGATATCAGAACCCAGTGAGTGAAGCCATTGAGTCTTATCGGATATTTTTGGTGCAACAAACACACATGGGGTGATGGAGGGCCTAAGTGCACCTGCTCTTTCTAGCTAAAGGTCAGTAACTGAAAAAAAGTATGAGATAAAAAATTAATGATTTCAAAATAGAACCAAGTCCTATTTTCTAGAAATTTGTACCCCAGCAGGCATCTTTTGAACTGTATAATGGACTTATCAAACTGTATAATGGACTTATCAAACATTGACCTTCCCAAATTCAGAGAATCTACTGTTAATCCCCCCCACCCCATTTTCTCCTAATTTCTTTTTATTGTGCTTTAGGTGAAAGTTTACAGCTCAAGTTAATTTCTCATTCAAAAATTTATACACATATTGTCTTGTGACATTGGTTGCAATCCCCACAATGTGACAGTACTCTCCCCCTTTCCACCCCAGGTTCCTGTGTCCATTCGACCAGATCCTGTCCCTTCCTCCCATTTTCTCTTTAAAGGAAGAGAATAAGGGCAGGAAAAGAAGGAAGAGAAACTGTTCCCTTACATAACATTTATGAAGCTCTGTAATAAAAATGTAATGTGCAGGAAAAAGAAAGTATTTCCATTAAAAAAAAAATGCAATAAGGTGTGCTTCTCTTCGAGAACAGGAATGCTGAAGATTGCAACAGGCAATAAAACAGAAATGTCCTTTCAGAGTTCCTGAGTGATCAATCAAATGACATCCAGAATCTTCATGTCTGAGTCACCCCATCCCAGCAATACGTAGTGACACTGCTCTCTGGTTGTTGCTGTATATCACAGAGAACAAAGGCCTTGTGTCCTCTCTTTGCAGTGTCCTAGACAATGCAACTGCAGGGAAACATATTTGCTATTGACCAAAGCCATCAATAGGTTTTTCCATTTTTTCCTGAAAACATTCAGTGCTTCCCTTGATCCAGGGACCTCCACCTCGGCACTACTGGCATTTGGGGCTGAATAGTTCTTTGTGGTGAGGGGCTGTCCTACGCATTGGAGGATGAATTTTAGCAACATCCTGGGCCTCTATCCAGTAGGGACTCAAACTCTGCTTATGTGGACGCTCTAGGGCCCAGTGGTACTAATTATCTGCGTATGCCCTGAGAAAGTGGCCCCTTTTCCAGGCCACCATATTGAGGCAACACAAATCTCACTCGGTGTCTTAGTAAGTGCATCACAGAATGAGACATTTTATGAACAATCTTTGACCTAAAAATTAGCTTAGTGACCCATGGCAAGTGAGAGAGAAATTCATAACCTACAGATCTAATAGTCAACTGCCCAGAGACCGGACAAAAATGATGTTCTTATTACAGCTATCAAAACCAAGAAAACCTGCTAGAAACTAACAGAACTAAATACGTGCAGGGAGAAAAGGTTTGCTTCTCAAATATGGCAAAGAAGCAAGAATTCCTGGCTGCAGACAGTTTCCTGTTCTGGAATGTTGATGGTGTGAGACCAATTAGAGACAGGCTCGATGACTGTCTGCACCATTCTCGATTCCAGCTGCACACAAGGAGGTCACAGGAAACTGCTAAAGGCCCCTGCCCCAAGTTGAGGTCACTGAAATGCTTCTGCTCTGCTCATGTTTGGTTCTTCTCCTGCTGCGTTTTTATTTTTGGCTCAGGCAATGGCCTCAGATATTTCAGTTGGATTGAAATTGAGGCTTCAGCTGGGCTGGATCTTTGACAAGAGAAAACGACAGACTCACAGAGCAGGGCAGAGCTTTGGCTGATTTCCACTCTGCAGAGCCCACAGTGAAAAGGGTGGGGTACAGAAATAAGTGCATGTTATCAAGCATGCGAGTGCGGTTTTGTGTATGGCTACTATGTAAGGCACCCCATATGGCCACTAGCTATTATCGGTTTTTCCGAGAAACCAAGATGATTATTTAAATCTTTTAGCTAAGGAAGGTAGTTATTGGGCCTAGTTATTTTAATGTTTTGAGTTGGTGTTTTCTTCTGTTATTGTGTAGTAAATGCACATAAGCAAACAGTTTGTAATTTGCTTAAATAGGAAATTGGCCAAAATGGTAGTGTTTGTCTGCATGCGTGTATATGTGCTATATATGTACTTACATACATATGTATCTTGTTCAGGAGGAGAGTACATGGAACATGTTACTTAAACATTCTAAGGTGAAATGAATTAAACATGATTTTAACAAGTGATAAGATTTAACAGAGCCACTGGGTGGGGGGACAAGTAGGAGGTTAAAAGAGTCCCTGGGTGGTACAGACAGTCACCATCCTCTGAGTCCCCTCAGAGACACCTTGGAAGATATGGAAATCTACTCCCCAAAAATAAAGCCACTGAAAATCCTATGGAGCACAGTTCAATCTACTCTGACACACATGGGGTTGTTATGGGTCAGAATTGACTTGACGGCAACTTTTTTTTTTTTTTTTTTTTAGGAGGTTAAAATAAAGAAAGTTTAA